AGCGTGTTCTCCGGGGAATTTGCAAGTGAGATGCAGAGAATAGCTGCGGGGCTCGGGTGACTTTTAATCTTTTATTGCGGAGCAGCGAAGGGATGTGCGTAACTAACGGAGTCGGTGGCCCCTGAAATGCCTCACCTGTCTGCCATGAACCCTTGACCATTGCAGAGGTGGGAAGGAACCTCCATGTTTAAGAAATAAATGATTCACTATTGCTTTTTTCCTAACGTACTCATTGACCCTTTCTGTCACATAGCAATTATTTTGCTCTAGTTGCCCTTGAAAGTGAGGGATTTGATAGCCTTCTTCTCTGATACACCTTCTAAAGATACAGAGTAAGTATCAGGCGTTCCTCGTTCCTTCTGAAATCCTCATACACCTCAACTTCAGCACTGCCAATGATAAAAGAAATACAGTGTATTCTTAATTTACATTCAGCTGCTGCTCCTACTTAGAAAGGAGTTGAAAATACCACTTTTCTCAGATGTCTGTGATAAACTGGGGTCAAGTGGAAGAAGCATTAAAGATTTCTTTTCCTCTAGGGGACATTTTGTTCTGCAGCCGTTCTGCTTGGCCCTGCTTGCTTGTTTTTTAAACACAGAACCTTAAATGCTATTTGTTCATCTTAGAATTTTCCTGACAGTTCAAGATTTCAAATTCAGGTATGGCCCTATATCACCCATGACCCCTTTGAGCTTGTGATGTAGACCAGAACTAGGAGACGCATTTCACATAGACAGCAATTTCTCTTCTGCTAATAAAAAATTATGGTCTGTACAATTATGCTAATTTTGACCGATTTGTGGAAAACGTTTGAATCCATCCATGTTCTTTGTGTTAGGGAAATTTTATTTTTTTTTAATTTTATCATTCTGGATACCATTTGCAAATAAATACTTAGTCCAAAACATGCAACCTTTGTTAGGTGTTTTCAGGATGCTGTCTTTAATATAGTATACAGATATTTAAAATGTTTGTAACGTGAAAATTCTGATTAAACAAACAATCTAAGCAGAAAACTTAAATGGGTCTTTTAAAAGATATTTTTGAAATCTGGAAATTTTGTAGTGAGCGTTTTGCTTTTGTCTTTATCTCTCTTAAACAGGTGGCATTAAAGTAAAACTTTGCTGATCTGAATAAAGCTGGTTAACATGAAACTCACTGGAATCATCTGCATCCAGGAGTGCTATGGAGCAATTTTCAACATAGAGAAGGAATTGTTACATGTGTCTGGTAATAGAAGACAGTATTTCACTGGCATACTGAGGCGGGTAGCAACACCCTGGCGCCAAACCTCTAACTCTAAAGTGAACGGAAATGCTGGAGCACTGAATGAAAAAAGTATGAGAGCAGTGGTGACAGGAGGTGGAGGCTATTTTGGATACAAGCTGGGATGTGCTCTTGCCAACGCAGGAGCTTCTGTTGTTCTGTATGACATCCACAAGCCTATCTGGGAAATTCCCAATGGAGTAGTGTGTATCCAGGTACAATAAATTACATTTTCACAATGATCAAAGTTAGTTCATTTGCCTTTTCCATAATGTTTTGCTAGTTTTCACAGAATACAAATACCTAATTGCAAATTTCAGTAACCGTTTTAACTGTGTGCATATCCTACATGACTTTTTGTCAACTGATTTTAGTACACCTGAAATAAGGAAATAAGGAAAACAATGAAACTGTAACGTGTAGCACAGTGTACCCACTTCACCTCCTGACTCTGAAGTACTCCTCGGGACCCAGTCACTGCCCTCATCTGTGCCTTAGTGTAGTCACCTGTAGAATGAACATAGAGATAATACGAGGCTTAATGAATGTTTTTAAAGTCCTTTGAGTTCTATGACAGAAAAGTGTGGTTCTCAGCAGGTGCCTAGTTTTCAGTCCCACGCTGTACAGTAAGTACTATTACATATAAGCATTCCCTCTGTGTTAACCCACTATATGACAAATACTAACCTGCAGTTTTGTTTTCAAGTCCGAATATCTTTTCTTATGTATTACAGGCAGATGTCAGAGATTATGATGCCATATTTGTAGCCTGTGAAGGGGCTGACTGTGTGTTTCATGTAGCTTCATATGGAATGTCAGGAAGAGAGCAAGTGAGTCCAAATAGTTTTATTTATTTCTGTGTGACTGCTCACACTGAGGATGAGAGACTTGATGCTCTAACACTGCATGTTAGATTTTATCTCTTCAAATTATCCTGAGAGCCTGAATCCAAGTCCATGCTGTTTTGGTAAATTGCTCTATGCAAACTGGTGTGCTAGCTGCAAGCAGTCTGCTCTCAGTACTGTTTTCCTAGTTGTGACATAATTTCCTCCCGATTAGAGGCTCCACCAGGACCCTGGGAGGGCTTTTGAGTTGGAAATGGCATTGAAGAGTTCTGAAATAGTGTGAGGACAAAAGGAAAGACAAGGGAGGCCGGTTCCCTCCAAATCCCTGATCCTTCTCTGAACCTTTCACATGGATCTCCTAGTTGTAAGGTCACTTGGAGGAATAAAACCTGAACTGAATTATAAATTATTTTATATAACTAAATTATAACAATTGCCATTATTTCAAGTCTTAGTTGTTTGCCATTGGGTAAAAAGCTCTAATGATGTACTTGATGTAGGACTCTGAGCCACAATTTTTATCATTAGGAGTTAAAAACACACAAACATATAACCTTTCTTACCTTATTTAATAAAAGGAACTTCAGTAACTACCTTAGCTGGATAGAATCACTCATTCAAAGAGGTGTGCAACTGAGCAATGCATACCTGGAATTGCTCTGGGTAGAGGCACCTGGTCACTGAAGTGCTACTGAAACATGGATATTTAACATATTGCTGCAAGATGTATAATAACTGGAAGTCTATGTTCAGAAGCACCACGATTCTCTTTGCTTCAAGCAGGCTAGCCTGTAAAAATACAAGAAAAATACAGGCATAGTTTAAAAATAATGGTGTGACTTCTTGAAGTCTGAAACAGCAGTCTAAATGATCTTTTTTGTAATCGAACAACTAAACTCATTACATTTGGAGACATTTATAACATAGCCCTATTGAGTTTAAAATGTATTATTATTCAAAAATGTATAACTTCTTTATTTTCCTAGTTGCACAGAGAAGAGATTGAAACTGTAAACATTAATGGAACAAGATTTATCATTGATGGTATGTATCTGACTTTGCTATTGGGTGGTGGTATAGCAAATCAAAATATTACACCACTTAGAAAAAGCCAGTTGGCTTTTTTAGCAAATATTTTACATTTTTGGCAGAAGATGAGGAAACACATCATTGGGGGTTTTTATGCTCGATTCTGCTATGGGGTGTGATATGAGAGCCAGCACTGTGGTTCAACTACTTCAGCTTTTCATAACCATGTTTGACCCGATGTCAGAATCTGTATCCATGTAAGGAGTTAACTATTTCTATGCGTATTTTGTAGCAGTAAACCTCATTGCTATCTACTAGCTTGTGCACAGGTATTGGGCAGCCCTTGAGCAGATGGACTTCTAGCCACCTGCCTGGCTAGAGCTGAAGCCCACCTCAGTAGGCTGGTAGCAGCCCTCCCAGAGACGCAGTGTCAGCCTACAGCATCCAAATTAAAACGTGCCAGATTATAAAGCACTTGGTTCTGCACTGATGTCTTCCCTTTAAATATGCTTTGCACGCCCAATCATAAAATGGAGGGATTTGCTCTTTTAAGATTTGACAGTTTCTCAGAAAAAGGTCATACAAACTTTTTTTCCATATTATTTCAGTTTCCACTGAACTAATTTACTTTCTACATTGCCGCAGCCTGCAAACAAAGGAACATCGCTAGATTGATATACACCAGTACAGTAAACGTGGTGTTTGGAGGGCTTCCTATTGAAGATGGTGATGAGGAAACTGTGCCATATTTTCCAATTGAAAAGGTATTTTGGTTGTACTATATTTTCAAGTTTCCTCTTTGTTTACTTTCTTGTTCCTGAAAAACCCTGGAAAAACATGACCATGTTTTGCCTGATGCCAGAATCCAGGTACAGGAAAGAAGAAAGAAAACTCTTTACCCTGTTTGTAGATGCTATTCACAACCTTGCCACATCAGTTTTATGCACATTGCAGTATGTATTTCTTTCCTATCAAGGCCTTGATTTTGGAAAATTACTCATACAGTGCCCCGTTAACATTAACGATGTGCCACCTGGACATAGGGGATTGTGTTATATGGCTTGCTCTCTCTTTAGCCATTTATTATTTATATGATTTTTCTGTTTCTCCCATATTGAAGATAACATATCTTCAATGTAGAGCTGATACGGAAAAGTAGCCTATTTTTACATGGTTTTATTGCATTTAATTAAAAAGGAAAAAGTACTTCTGGGTGCTTTGCATACACAGGTTTTTTTTGTGTCCCTCCTCTCTCCATCAAGTACTTCACAGTCTTTCAAGAAGTAGAGATGGATAGAGAAAATACTGAATGATATTTTGAATAATATATCAAATAATATTTTCTCTGAGACAGTGCCACAAAAAAGTGAACAGGATAACTCAGACCAATCGTAATGTCTTCAAAACTTGGCTTTTGCCTTTTCCGTTACCTGAAAAAGAAATCCAGATTACAAAGTAGTGATCAATTACATTCTTGGCAGCATTCAAAGCATGCATATATTTATTGCTTCTCAAATGTACTGAAATTAATTAACTGGATTTGCATAAACAAAAATGCTTGCTTACCTTAGCAATATGCATGTGTTTTATCCTAAACTAATGCCCCATGGCTTCTGTATTTTGAGGTATTGGTTGCCATCTGCTAAGTAAAAACTAGTGGAGAAGAGATGCCCCTCTGCTCTGTCATTTCAAGACTAGATAAAAACATATTTGCTCTTTCTCTGTAGCATGTTGATCATTATTCCAGAAGCAAATCAATTGCAGAACAAATGGTTCTAGCAGCTAATGGAACTCCACTAGCAGGTACTTTTTGTCCTAGCATGAATTCATAGTGGAATTTATTCCTCCTCTTCTTGTTCCTCACTAACTTCCTGTATCCTCTATCAATCCTTAGTGGACAAGATTGTCCAGAAATTATGAAATCACGTTGTCTACCCCCTCTCACAAACGAAAAGATTTTCACTTAAAAATCACTTTTAATTGTTTTTAAGTTCCCACAGTGTCCATAAAAGGTTTTAGCATCATAGCAATGAGTTCAGTATGTTAATGGAAAAGATGAAAACAGCTATAAATTAAACAAACCAAGTGTTTAATGTCACTGTATTATGCAACATAAGTAAAACATGAATGCTGATTGAATTGTTAACATCCCCCAAGTTATATACTAAAATATGAAGAAGCCACCTGATATTACGACCTGGAATTATTTATTAGTGCTTCCCAAAGTTTTCCATGTTGAGGAAGCCAGTTATACACTTGACTACTTAAGCTTACCTGTGAGATACTATAACTGCCAGTGCAAAACAAATTAATGTAAAGTGCAACATGATTCTATGTGACCAAGTGATACTGAGCTAAATTTAGCTGCAGGCAACTTACAGAAAAGCATGTCTTCACTTGATACTTGCAGAGGGCTATAAAGAGACATAAAGTCATTGATAAACATTCCATTCCAGTAGTATTAGTTTAAAAAATAATTAAGTCGTTTCCTTATTTTCTCTTTTCTCAGCATCTCTTCACATCAAAGACCCTTTTGATTTTCGGAGCAATACACAGTTCTGCATTTCTCAACGAAACTAGAACGTCATTGTTCCAAATATCCCATTTTGATCCTGTGCCATAGCAGGACAATACATGGAGTATTCTGCATGTTTTCAAGTACTATTAAGAACAGTTATTAGCAGATGATGAACCAGCCAACTGATAAATTTGGGAAGTGATTGGATTTTTATGATGGTACTTACCCTTTCCCTCTGAAGGTATCAAGACCTACAGCAGTTCTAGTGAGAGCTGGCCATGCCTACTGTGGAGAGGACCTTTCAGCTCTATCTTGTACTGCTAGCGAGTCATGTTTCCCATCAATTATTTTGTATGAGATTAGTTGGTTTCATTCCACTTTCCTACCAATAACTCGCTCACTTTGGCAAACTCATTCACCACAGTTGGCACATTCATTCACTGCTTTGGCACAGAGACAAAGGACTGGTTAGAGAGAAGTTTGGAACTATCTAGCAATTTCTAGGAATCTGACTGTGCTGCCAGAACTTCCCTGAATCTTATCTTGCTATTTCATGTGTTCTGATTCTGCCAACTCACTCGCCAACTACTAATTCAACACTTTTGGCATGTATTATTTTTTAAGATAGTGAAGTTAATTCATTTCAGAGAGAGTTCAGCAGTAAGTTCTGCTACCACAGTCTTTGTTTCACACAAAGAAAGATATAACATAGTTATGTGGAAGTCACTTAAGAATGGTCTTATCAATTCTTCTAGGAGGTGGAATACTCTATACGTGTGTTCTTCGCCCACCAGGGATCTATGGACCAGAAGAGCAAAGACACTTGCCAAGGCTAGCAGTATGTATTTTAATTTTTTAATCAGTAGAATCTTCTGTGATATATTTGTGTTATAAATTGACTGACCTTCTTATTGGGCAGCAGTTCAACAATTCAATTGTCTGGTAAGGATATTGTAACTTTTGTTAACAGGCACTATGTTATATCTGTAAAGAACGTATAGTACATTAAAAAAGCCTTTTTTTGAAATACAAAGACATGTAACTCCAGATTTACAATTTAATGCTTACTAAAAGATTCAGGCCAATCTATGATATTTCAAATGTCTGTTTGCACGCAGCTTACACCAAATGGTTTAAAACATTAATGAAAAGAGATACGGCAAAATATCTTATTTCCAGTCTCACCTGTTAACAGCTTCACTAACCAATGAAACAAGTTAAGGAGTCAGAAGCACCTTCTGGTACAATAGGTCACTAAAGGGCAAACAGCTGAGGCATTCACGTTTTACTCTTTTTCACTTGCTGTCTTTTAAATTGTAGGGCTAGTACACTGTTTAGAATAGGATCCCTGTAGAATTGTATGAGTCAGTTATTTTAAAAGCACCAGTGCAATATAAAGTTATGCACAACTTTGAGGACAGAATATATTCAAGCTTACCACAAAATAAATATTTTTGGTTTGTGGCTGAGGTAGAGAATTATTTTGAAGTCAGCCAAAATATATTGTGTCATCTTCTAAAGGAAATAATTTTTAAGGACAGCAAATGTCATTTTAGTTAAACCTGAGATGTTTTCTTTAGCCCCTCCCCCCCAAGAAAAGTCTTTTTGAATTTCCATTTAAGATTTTAAGTTTATTTATTATGGGCCCATTTTAAGGCATGATGCAACTGTCACATTTTGCAGTTTCTAAAATGCACCTGTTAAATGAAAAACATGACACCTAGCATTACCTTCCATTTTTTCCCAGCCAAAGCTATTTTGATAAATTTGATCCAATTTTGTGGATACTTCTGATCCACACAGAACTGTATCTTACCTTTCCATACAATATTTTATTTATCTTTAGAAGAGACTTGTGTTTTTTGTAAATTCAGGATGTATTAAGTTCAATAAGTTCTTTGATCCTTGCTCATGAGCAATATTCTTAGAGCTCTCTGCGCTTCTCTTGATTCTTTTTAATTGATTCATGTAATTTTTTTAAGTAGAGACAAACCTGTATTTAGCTGCACAAGAAAGTGCACTACGCCTCATTTTAAAGCCCATTTTGCTTTGGTTTCATGTTTGTTTATGTCTACAGAAGAATATTGAAAGAGGGCTACTTAGCTTCAAGTTTGGGGATCCTTCTGCTAAAATGAACTGGGTGCACGCAGAGAATCTTGTACAAGCTCAGATTCTGGCTGCTGAAGCTCTCACCCCTGAAAAGAACTATATAGCTGTAAGTAAACAATTCACCACAGTTTTCATTTGACAGTGGATCCTGCCACTGTATCCTGTACTATAGTAACTACTGAAGCAGAAGTAATTAACGTATGTGTTATGGGCCTTTAGCCCATGTTGTTGTCTCTGTTTTTAGTTGACAAATGTGCTGAGCAGTGTGGGACCTGGCAGCATTGGCTGTGCAGTGTGTTAAGGGTTGGAATATTCAGTTCTGTAAGAATATCTCCGTCTTTCCATTTTTCTAATATAATACCTGCCATTTCTGGAAGGTGAGCAAAGAATGTTTGCTATGTCAGAAATGAAACTCAAAGTTCAGGCAGATTTATCCTGTTCCCCTGTATATAGATCCAGATTTCATGTCCTGAACTGTGATATTCATTTCTTCCCGTATCATATGCAAATAAATGCACAATTTATTTAGGTTCATTGATTTCAAAAATAGTGGCAACTGTTTTCCTCCTTGTAAATGCATTTTTTTTATTTGACCTAGAAGCACTACCCTTAAAGTATATTGGAAAGATTTTCAAAGTAGATTAAACTACTTTTTCTAAAACCCAAAAAGCAAAAAGGAAAGAGGTAACTTACACCTTGGTTACACAGATGAAGTGTTATGGATTTCAATGAGTCTTGACTAGACTGAGAGCAGAACGTGTCCCACCATTTGATGAATGTGTTAACAGCACAAGTAAGATATGGCACCACTTTCAGTGCATTTGGTAATCTCTATAATCACTACAGCCATTTTGTATAGGCCCATCTGTAATAAATAAATTATACCGGGGCGTGTTAATCACATAAACCACTTGTCCACACATTAGTGCAGCTGATTGAAACACATGTAGATAGTTTGTTGGCTTGAATGTACATCCATGCATATTTTATATTGCTGTATTATTTCTAAGCTATTCATAAGGAGTGAGACAAAGAAGTCAATACATATGCAGTGTTATTTTTACTAATTTGTCTCTTCTCTACCACTTTAACAGAGTGGCCAGGTGTATTTCATTAATGATGGCGAAAAATGCAACCTTTTTGAATGGTTAACTCCGCTTGTACGTGCAAATTTATCTCCAAATACATTAATTTCTTTGACCGTATACAACTCCAGCTTTTGTGTGCATGTTACATTTGGTATGTTTGCTTTGGGTGTAAAGTTCTGTTCTGAATGTGGGTTTAATTCCTGCTTGAAGTTCAGTCTGATTAGCACTGTAACAAAGCCTCCCTAAAATACTACATTAAAGCAACTGTCTACACTGAGACCAAAGGACCATCTAAACCAGTATCCTCTTCTGAGTTGCCATTCTCTTCTTTTCTTGGGCATGCACAGTGGTTATTTTGGGTGGGAAAAAAATATAAATCCTAATTATGAATGTGTAATATACATTCTTTCCAAAAGATTATTCTATTGTTAATGATGGGCTCAAAACCGTAAATATGTCACAATGTTAAATCAGGTATTGGCACACCGTGACATTTTGATCCATTATTATAAACTTTTTTTTTCTTTTTTTAAGACTGTCACTTGAAAATTACATAGTGTCTGCATGTGATATTTAACTGGAATCCCCTGAAAAATGAAAACTCAAATAGTAACAGCAATGACTAATTTTCCTGTTTTATCAGTAAATATTTCCACAAATATCTTCTGTATTGAAACTTTAAAACTTGATTGAGGTTTCTGTTTTTTTCACTGTGTTTTAAATCTCTTTCAGTTTGAAAGATTAGGTTGCAGTAAACCATGGATACGTATTCCTACTTCCTTAGTTTATGCATCAGGTAAAAATATTTTACCAACGTTTCTCTTTCCTGTCCACACAACCCTCATTCCTAATTGTAATATAATGGTTTGTTTTTTCTAATTTGCGCACAATTTTCAGTTTCAAGTATAACAATAATATGCTGTGGGCTCATCTAGTGTGCAGCAGTTAGGGGTAGAGTTCAGTTCTATGCAGCATTTTGAAACCAGAATGATCAGTTATTTAAGTCCCACAAAAACAAGTTTTATGTAAGACTTAACAGATGTATAACTTTGTGGAGTTACTGTTAAAACTATAAAAAGTTAAATGTAAAAATCCATGACTTCATGAAATACACTGAGGAGTATCTGCTTTGCTGCATGGGTAGATTTGTTCTCCTGTATCCCGTGCTCTCTCCAGAATCAACCACCACGTGCAGCTAAGACAGAATCCAACTTTAAGTATTTTGTTGTTAGCACATTTTTTACGAAGTCTCGTGATCTTTTCACTAGACCTGTCACCGACCCTCCAAACCCTTTTCACACTGGCGCCCTAATTCAGGCTGACTGAAGTATTAAGATCAAACCCACCCCCTTGTGAGCAGGTGGTCCTGTTGGTGTTAGCAATGGTGCCCTGAGCTCTTAGGCACGTGATTATGCTTTGCTATCGTATTCAGTGCGAGATATGCCAAAATTGTTCTGGTATAGCAATTTACTGTTCTTACCTCAAGGAGAAATCTTTTGTTATGCAGCCATGATGATGGAATACCTTCATCTGATGCTGAAACCCTTTGTTGAACTGTCCCCACTGCTGACCAGAAATGAGGTAAAGTCTTGATTTGTAAATTCCCCTTAATTCTCACAGGATGCACACATACACGTTAATACTGAGGTACCATTTAAGATTAAGTCAGTAGAAAGTAAAATCTACCCAGTACTACTTCAGCCTCCAGTTTTCAGGGTAAATGTACGCGTTGTACATTTTAGGCAATATATTATGCTTGTTACCATCATCTTTGAAAAGAGAATCATAGAATCATAGAATCGTTAGGGCTGGAAGGGACCTTCAAAGGTCATCTAGTCCAACCCCCCTGCAAGGAACAGGGATATCTCCAACCAGATCAGGTTGCTCAGGGCCTCATCCAACCTGGCCTTGAACGTCTCCAGGGATGGAGCATCCACCACCTCTCTGGGCAACCTCTTCCAGTGTTCTACAACTCTCATGGTAAAAAATTTTTTCCTTGCAATCTGGAGAGGCTGCTCCAGCTCCTTCCTTCCAAGGCCCAGTGTCCAGTATGGCTTTGGCCGTTCAGTTGGGCCCTCACTTCTGAAGAACCGTAGGCACCTAAGAGATGGCTTTTGTCTGCCTCCTTAGGTATGTAAACAAAAGCGCAGCACATTTTTTATGGATGTTTTCATAGAAGATTCTGCTTTGCAGCTTTTACTGCCTCTTTGGGCTTTCAAGGTTCTCCTTTTGCATGAACAATTTTAAAGATAACATGACATAGGTCAATAGGACATTGATATGATGTTATAGGTGTTTTTTTAATTTTACATTTTATTTTACATTTCCTTTAACTGCGTCTGCTAGCATGTACAGACTTTGTTCCAATTTCCTATGTATTCATATCTTTATATGTTGACTCTTTTGCCCTATAGGTACAGAACATTTCTATAACTCATACTTTTCGGATAGACAAGGCACGGAGTCAGCTAGGGTACAGCCCAGAGAAGTTTGCATTTGCTGATTCTGTGGACCATTACATTAAAACAAGACCAGAAGCCCAGAATCATCACGTCTTCCTCAAAGTTTTGCTTTCTTTAATTGTTAGTTTAAGTTTGATCTTTCTTTCTTTAAGATTTGACGGCCTTTCAGTTTTGCATTTTTTTAAAGAAACACAACACTGACTTGCATAAACTGCATGTACTCAGTCATAGCACTGCTGCCTGGATCAGTCTAATCTCCTCAATGGTTACTGGCCCCAGTGCAATAAACAGGCAGCTACTTTTAGATTTAAAAACAAAATCGTAACATATCAGTAGCGGTATATGTGAAATTAAAATACAGTAGACAATACAGCTAAATCACTGAAACACACTGGAGTCAAGATCGTTGCTTCTGTTCATTTCACACCAAAAAAACGCAACTTTCCAAATTGACTGCTGAAGTAAACGAGAACCTGCAGAAAAACCAAGAGCTACAGCCAGCCTGTATCGCTTCACTGGTGAAGAGAAATGGCTAAAATAAGGAGAAAGATTGCTCACAGCTGCTGCCACAGCTCACTACCTTGGAGAACCGAGGAACAAGCAAAGGGACAGACAGAAGAGATTGCTGTAAATAACACACCAGCTCTACAGACACTGTGTGAATTTATTTTGTGAATTAGCTGTATTACTGCACTGAGGGAAAATAAAGGCGTACTTGAGACTTAGCAGCAGTCAGTCCTGTGCCTCCCTGCAGACTGTTCCAGAAACGCTCTGCCCCACCCCTGGGGTGCAGAGCCATCCGTGACGGCACCGCGTGGGCCTAGGGGGTACCAGCAGGTATGGTCTTCCAGGAGTCAAAGCTGCATGTTTTAGATAAATTGGAAGTTACTAAGGAAGTTACATTAGTTACGTGCATTTATGTCACAACAGAGCCATCTGCCACTATGGGTTGTGCTAATCTTTGCACAGGTTCCTCTGCCTCCTGCAGTTATTGCAGACACCAAGGAGCCACACAGTTGCCCCAGTGCAGGGCCGGCAGCCAAGGCCAGGAGCAGCCTGCGGCCTGGCAATGACTCGAGCAGAGCATGGGAAGGCAGAACTGGTGAAATCACTATTTCTGATTTGATTCTTAAGCCAAAAGACAGGAAGGAGAAGCCGCTTGCCCCAGTACGTGCTACAACTTTCTGTAATTCGACTTTAACAGGCGTGACCGGCAGCTCCCAAGCCCAGCTCACCCCGAGCAGCCGCGGGGCACCGTGCCCGGACCGGCCGG